CTGACATGAACTATGCTGACATTTCAAGGCAAGCCCAAAAAGACAGACACAGTGCATACGGATTTTAGTCACCTCTTACGACAGGCATGCCTTACCGGGTATATTCGGTTTCCCCCCCAACCTGGAGGGGTCCCCCCTACCTGTTGGACAGTGTTATCAGAGGGTTCTGATCTACAAATAAAACTACTGAAATAATTCTTACATTTTGAAATTCTTTGATAATTATTACATTTTGCTGTCTTAGGATCTAAAATTAGTTTACCATGCTTATGTGCTAAAGGGTATACATTATATGATCTACATTTAGTTTCGAGTATTGGATATTTGTAAATTGTAATTATAGTTTGTTCTAAGTAACAAATATGGATGTCAGAATATTCCAATATATTAATAAGGGAAAGATCCAACTCCTCAGGGTTTATTCATTTAAATTAAGTGTGCCAGAGTAAAAATTGTTATTTTTCGCAAAATTAATAGTGTTTGTAATTGTTTGCAATTCATTATAAATTTCTGCTGTAATTAAATTCTCATTTATGGCTTTAGGATCGAGTGTTTCAGGTATTCTCTCGAACTGCGAATTAATGCTTTTTTGTTTATTATTATTTTCTATTAGCATATTAATTGACGTTTTGATTTCTATAAGATCGTCATGATCTGGTGTACCAGTTATAAATTTTAGCGCAGAACCAAGAAAGTTAATTGATCTTATAGGTCTGTAAATATTTGGCATGAGTTGATTTTTTAAAGTTTCAATTTTATTTACTAATATTTTTGTTTCAGGCTGGTTTTCTAAATTATATGAAGATTTCATTATCTCTCGTAAGGTGCAAGTATGTTGGACAAATTTGAAATGTGATATAAAAACGAACTATTCTGGTAAATGTAAACCGGGTCAGTTTCAACAAGCACATATTTTTTGTTTTTTAAATCAATTATGTTGTCGCATAATGCGAAAGTGTAATAAAAACAAATTATTCTGTACATGCCTGTACTCTCATGTTATCTTTGTGACACGTCCCCTATTTGTCGTTACAGTCCTTCCGTTGTTGTGAATGCGAATGAATTAAGCATCCACCCACTTTACCCGAAAAAACTGAGGCACSCTACTAAGACAGCTTAATTCACCAAAGCTGATGACACTACATCACACCACAATTGAGAACATCACCACACCCAGCAAGCGGTCACC